TCCTCGGCCCGCGTTGTCCCCCTGGGTCAGGCCTGGGTCCGGTGGCGACCGTTCGCTTCACGTCTAGGGGGTGCAAGCCGCCCTGAGCACCCTCAGGTCGCGGGGACTTGTCCGGGGCGGCGGGGACAGACCGGAGACCGCCACCGCCGCCGCTGCCGCCTGCGTCCCGTGCGCCGCCCGCCCGGGGCCCAGCCACTTAACTTTTCTCGGGACGGAGGCCGCGCCGGAGGCCCAGGCGGGAGCCGACTGGGTCGGATGGCGAGAGCGCAATTGCTCTGGGCTGAGAGGGAGCGCGTGCGGAGAAGTCAGCAGCCCGGCCAGCCGCCCCCGGCCGGGACCCAGCAGGCAGGACCCTGCAAGCGTGCAGCAGACGCCCCGCCTTAGGCAGCCGTTCCCTTCTGGTGTTCGCGGCCCTGGCTGCACCCTCTGCCCTGGAATGCCTCTCTCTGGACCCGTAGTCCCAGCAGGTAAAGCCCCGAGTGTGGGCGGAGGGCCGGGGGCGCGGGCGAGGCCCCTTCCCTCTTGCTGCGGGCTTTGATCTGGACAGGGGCACTGGGGATTGCACGGCCTACCCCGAGGGAAACCGGCCTGGCCCCAGCAATTCCTAGCGACCCCAAACCGCCCTTCATTGCCTGGGGTAGGGACCTTTTAGGTGGGCTAGAGTTTCTCTGTGAGCCAAACCTGGTTGGGGAGAGAGTCCCACTTGTCCTCACATCCTAACCCCACCCCACCAGGGCTCATCTGAGCTAGCAGGTCGTTTCCTTCCCTTTCTCCCCTTGGGGGTAGGACTCGGACAGATGTTGGGAGAGAAGATTTCTACTTAGCACGTATCTGGGAAGAGGGTTGGGGGGGTCTGGTCTGGGGCTGCCCCCTCCAGCATAGGGGAAGGAGGCCACTGCAGGGAGGAATCCCAACTTTTGTGGGACAAACTTTTAAGCCCTGATTGATTTTGGGGAGGTGCTGGACTAGGGCTTATGCCCACCCCTATTCTCCAGGAGCTGGGACAGGCACCCGTGGCACTGTCCCCACAGTCTCAGGAAATGAAAAAGCCGCTTGGGGCTGGGATCTGGTGGTGGTGGTGGTGGTGGTGACGTTTAGGGGGTGGGTCCTCTCTGCAGCCTGGCCCCACCCAGCAGCACCTCACTCTCTCCCCTGCCCCCCAGCCCCAGGGAAACTCAAAGAGATGGCACTTGCCATTGTCATCTCAGTTGCTTGGGGAGGCCCTGCAGCTTTTGTGGGCTGACAGCCTACAACCTACAACCTACAACCGCAGGCCTGCAGAACATCCTACAGGACGTGTAGGCCCAGCCAGCTCCAGCGGCTCCCAGAGCAGGTGAGGACAGACCGGAGGTCCGGATGGCACAGCCCCTTGGAGAACAGACCAGACTTGGTGACTGGCACTCCATGCCCTGTCCTCACCTTTCCTGATCCTTCTCCTCCATGGCCCTCCTCTCCCTTTCCCCAGAGCCACACCCCAGCTCACCTCAGTCCTGGGCCCTTCCCTGGCTACCCCCCATCCCATCTTGCCCTGCCCCAAGGAGCAGAGGTGAGAGTCCTGGCCTGATGCCAAGGTCCCTGGGACTTGGGCATGTACCAGAGCTTGCCCAGCAGCCTGAGCCCAGTGAGCCTGGACCGGAGCTGCTATGAGGCTGCTCCCCATGGAGCAGTTTGGGCCCCTTCCTGCCAGCCAGCTCCAGCAGAGGGCGGCCGGGGCAAGAAAAGGAGGGACAGTGGGATTGAGTCCACTTGGCATCCAAGAGCGGCTTGGGAGAGGCTGGGGGAGGGGCCGGCGGCCTGGGTCAGGCGCAGACCTGTGAGGTTTGGCTTTGGTGGCCTCTCTGCTCCCAGAGCCCTTGTCTCCTCATGGGGCTGTCTAGGTTGGGTGGGCCTTTGCCTCGCCTCTGACCACTCCCCTCATTGCCCCTGTGTGGGGCTGGGGTGGGTGTGTGCTGGGATAGGTGCAGTCTCTGTCTCCCAGTGCCCAGGCAGGTGGTCACTAGGCTTTGTAGGGGAGGGCCTACTGAGGTATCAGGGAAAGAGGTCTAGCCAGGCTCACCTGGGGGAGGGGTTTGAAGAAGCAGAGGGGTCTTTGCTCCTGTGCTTCTGGATCTGCCCCCACCGGGCCCTCAGCGCTCCTGGCCACCGACCCTTTGTCCCCCTCACCATCAGATCCCAGGTGCTGTCCTGCCTCTGAGCCTCTGAGTCGGGGCTGCTGCTCTCCCCATTGGTGGCACTCATTCCTCCTCCTCTACCATGTTCACCGGCACCTGAAGACGGCCTCCGGGCCCAGCCTGCACACCCCCACAGCGGGCGCTGGGCCTGCCCACTGCTCTCCCTGCCTTGTGCCGCCCTCCTCACCCTCCGCTGCCTGCTGCTGCCTGCGGTTGCCCGCCGGGCCCTCTGCTGCCCATCGCTGCCTGCTCGGCCCTCTGCTGCCCGCTGAGCCCTCCACTGTCCGCTTGGCCCTCCACCGCCCACTGGGCCCTCTTCCACCCTCTGGGCCCTCCGCCGCCAGCCCTGCCCTCCACCGCCTGCTCAGCCCTCCTCCGCCCGCCCGGCCCTCCGCTGCCCGCCGGGCCCTCCTCTGCCTGCTGGGCCCTCTTCTGCCCGCTGAGCCCTCCACTGCCCGCTTGGCCCTCCTCCACTTCCAGGGCATCATCAGGAGGTATGAGCCCCGTTTCTGTGTTGTCTCCTCCAGCCTGGCCTGGCTGTGTCTGCTGCAGAATAAACCTCCGTGAAACCAGTAAGGGTGTGGATGGACTGACAAACACCCAGTTCCAGGTCAATGTCAAGAGCTCGCATTCTGCTTTTCACACGCCTGCAGCAGCCAGCAAAGCGGGTGTGGAGGCCACTGGGCCCAATGAGGTCTCCTCGGCCCGTGAGGCAGAGCAGATAGGAGTGGCAGGGAAGCCCCCTTTGGGGTGTGGTGTCTGTGAGTGCATCCATTCCTTGGCCGCAGGGCCATCTGCTTCCCTTCCTGGACCAACGGGTCCTCCCACGGATTACTCCCACACGTATCTATACTCCTTGTTAGCTTGAAAAATGGTTTCTTCTTTCCAAGCCTCCCGACTTGACCTTGGCAGGGCTGACAGGGGACCCCCTCCAGGGCTGAGACATATCCTGTCCCCCTTCACACGACAGGCCCCTGTTGGGCACCCTGCTGGGAGTGGGAGGCTTGGATTGAGGAGATGGTGGGGCTCCAGGGAGACTGGGCAGACCAGGAACCCGGCCAAGAGAGCTTGTTGGGGCCTGTACGAATGGCGGTGCGGGCCATGACCTCCTGTCTGACTTCACGAGGGGAAGGAGAGAGATGAGTATCAGCGCCAGCCCAAAGCTGATTCCCATGAGACAGAGGTCATGCGTACTTCCACCCTCCAACCTTTTCATCGAGTCTGACACCAGCCGTCCCTCCCACGGCACTATTTCTCTGCCGGGTTTGATAATTCGTTGCAGTGGCCGCACAACTCACAGATCATACTCAGGTATGGGGTTTATTAGGGAAGTAACAAGTTACAACGCAGGATTGGGATTGGGAATGACAGTTCTTTAGCTAGGCCAGTCTCAGCGGTGCCTGCAGGCAGGCTTCTTT